TCCAAATTTCCATCTACGATTGTGAACTGTAACTTTTAACTTATAAGAATCGATGATTTAATCTTCTGTGTATAAGCTTAAACTCTATACACTAAATCATCTACTATATAAGTTAAGGACACATATATGACAATTGATCTATTTAATGTAACACTTTATTGAATTGAATAAATGAATAAACAATTGTTCAATAATAATACTATATCAAAACGCATGGTTAATAGTATATCCTAACAGATAGAACTTGTTTTTTAAGAGTTTTAAATAAGATATCAGGTACAAAATACATCAAATTAATTTGATTATCTGCTGGACCAACAAACATCAGAGAAGGAGAAAGAAACTAGGTTTGGGAAGTGAATTGATTTGGGGATTTTGAGTCCTATTTTTGGGGTGGGTTTTAAAATTAAGTTGGGTGGGGCAATTAAATTTTGACAACAAATTAATAAATATCGGATCCATAGGATTAAGACACGTGTACTACCGTTAATATAAAGGGTATATACGCTCTAAAATTTGGATGATAAGGGCACTAATATACTAAAAGTATAATGAAGGGTATATGCATACCTCTTACGATAATTTAGGAATATACTTGTCATTTTTCCCTTATAACAATCTATCAAAATTTTATAAGCAATTCTGAAAAATTATCGAGATTAGATTATAATCAAATTTAAAAGAATGATCCGTATCATAGTTTTAGTTCATATATAATTTGCATTATATTTTGATGTTCCACTACAGTATCCAAACATCTCCCTGGTTAAAACATTTTTCTTTTTTCAATTTAAAGGTGTGAGGCTCAAAGGCCTCTTTTAATAAAACAAATATTATGTACAATATGCCAGGTAGATTAAGACCTAGCCTAAAATAAAGACAAAGCAACAAAAGATATACAATAACAAAACAAAACGGGAAAATGCATAAGTATTCCTCATCCTATGTCCAAAATTCCTGAGACACACCTAACCTTTACTAAGGTCCTCTTATCCCCGAACTTATTTTATATATAATTTTCTACTCCTTTTCGGCTTACGTGTTACTATCCTTGAAAAAATTGTCAACACGCGCTGAGGCCACAAGATAGTGCCACGTAGGCCGAAAAGGGATAGAAAATTATAAATAAAATAAGTTCGGAGGGTAATAGAATCTTAATAAAGATTAGGTGTATCTCAGGGATTTTGAACATAGGTTGAGGATACTTATGCATTGTCCCAAACAAAAAACCAAAACAAGCATCAGCCTAAAATGAAAAGGGAAAAGGGAAAGTGATGTTTGGAACGGAAGCTCTCGCATCTGCCACTTAGATCGGCGGCAACTTTCCGGTAGGACTCATCCTCCATAACTGATCTCTCAACTCCTTGAATAGATCTCCAGTTGTAAGGTGATGAGGAGATCAGATGCTCGTCTCGTCGTTCTCCAAATGTAATACCTCCAGCTAAGTGCATTTCCTTCCGAAATCTCACTTAATATTTGAAGTTTAGATGTACATCTAGGCTCTAGCATCTGGGTTCTTGTCTTGTCTGGAGATTTCGGGGCTAATCGATGAAGGATGAAGACTACTGCTCGAGGTAATTAGTCATTGCTCTTCTCTGCTTATTACCCGAATTACTAGATCTTACATTCATTGAAATCTTTTAGAAGATTGATTCTGATAATCTTTAGACGATTAAACTTGTAGAGCTTAGATGAATTACAAGTCCCCACTGTGTAAGGAAAAGAATTTTGTAACATATTGATCAACTAGCATCAAATCTTTTCCCTATTATTAAACTTCGATGGAATGAACCTCGGAGAGGCTAATACCACACATCAAAAGATAAATTCTAGGTTTTAGATTATCTGCTAATTTACTACTAGATTACTTCTTATACTTACCCGATAACAAGTCACTATATGGCATTGACTTCTAACTATTCCTCTGTTCCAATAGTTGCTGACTATGTGATTGATAACATGTGAATATATTAATCAGTTGTACAGTTGTTTCATCCTCAGAAAAGGCATGTTTATTTTATCCATGTTAAGAATTTACTTTGCAATTGATGGAATACCCTGAAACTTTTCCACCATGTATGTACCTACAAAATTAACAGTCATGTTAGCAAATAAATCAGCTAGAGTGTTGCCTTCCCTTAGAGGGTGTTTCACATGAACAGGGACACCTTCCCTCATTCTTTTAATAGCTTCAACCTCCATAACAACACTCCAAGGGACCTCCCATCTCTCCTCCAAAACTTGAACCATAGTGTGAGAATCTGTCTCCACTATAAGGGGTAATAGATTTCTGTCAATACAGAACTGAATGCCTTCCTTTATTGCTACAGCTTCTGCTACAAGACTAGTGGAATCTGGTATTCTTTTCCCTTTCACAATCACTATGGCTCCAAAGCAATTTCTCACACAAAATGCAGCCAAACTAGGGCCAGAATTACCCTTAGAAGCACCATCAGATTTGCATTTATAACATCCATCAGGAGGACGCCTCCACCTCACAATTTTGTGTCTAAACCTAGGCTCCCAATTTTCCAGTACATTCACAATAGCAGGCCAGGTCCTTGGTAAGTTTTGAGAAAAAGGGAATTTGCTAATTGTGAATTTATTAATGGTATTATTGATCTCATGAATAACCTTTTCATAAGGATATAGACCCCCATGTAGAATAGTGTTTCTTCTTTTCCAAAGAAACCACCAAATTAAAGAACAATTTTGATCTTTTTTGTACGTGTGTGGGTACCACACCGGTATCCTAACAGTTTTATACATTTATGTGTGTGGATGTCTTAGTTCCGGTAGGTGGTGTATTTAAGTGACCATTCATAGAATTTATGGACCAAAATGAGTAGGTTAAATATTTATGTTATTATAAACTGTCTCATTAAATATATATGAAAATTTTAAAATTAAACTATATTTTAATATAAAATATTTTTTTAGACAAATTAAAAAATAAAAATAAGAGACAAAGGGTGTGTTTAGATTAATTTTTGGCTTATCACGTATAAGCTAAAATTATAAGTCAGAATCTATTTATGTGATAACTTTTATATTAAGAGTGTGTTTGGTACGAAAGAAAATGTTTTCCATAGAAATGTTTTCCTAGAAAATATTTTCTTGGATCATAAGGAGATTTCTAACTTATTTTATATTAATTTTTGCTTCAAGTTGTAATTTTTTTTATAGCAATGAACTAATACAAACTAAAATAAATAGACTTGATAAATAAATAGAAATTAATTAACCTTCCGATTTTTAATTCATTGTTAAAATTGAGAGTCTTTATACTACTAATTAATAAATCATGTCACTAACCTAAAAGTAGCCATTTTTTGTTTCTCAAAAATGTTCTTACATACATGTGGTGGTCTATAAATTGGAGCTAGACTAAGCAAAATACACAACATACTCAATTCAAAGATGAAGTCGATTAATATTTTTCGTTTCCTCTTGCTCTCTTTGTTTCCGTTTGTTGCCTTTTGTCGATCTTTTACTTCCTAAAATCCCATTGCCCTCCCCACAAATAATAATAATAATAATAATAATAATAATAATAATAATAATAATAATAATAATAATAATAATAATAATAATAATAATAATAATAATAATAATAATAATAATAATAATAATAATAATAATAATAATGATGATGTACCCCTCAAGTGTTGGACATGGATGGCCTACCACTCTACATTGGTGAAAAATACATTATTCATAATCCTCTCAGTTGGAGGCGGATCCGTATACTTGGCCAATATTGGACACCATGAATGCCCAAACACCGTGTTGCAGCTCGTACCGATTCCCGGTTTAAGGGGAAATGGCACCCCCGTCAAATTCCTTCTTAAGGTTGATAATGATGATGATATTAAGGTGCGTGAAACGGATGCCATTGATATTATGTTCTCAATGTTGGGTACATAGCAAGAGTAAATGGGAAATGGAAGGAAGATGGGAAATTGAAAAGTTGGAAACTTGAAAAGTCCTTTTATGCTTTAGTAAAAAGACATTTCTCCCTCGGTGGTGGAAAGAAAAATAGAAGAGTTTAAATAGAGAAACACTTCTATTAATTGTTAAAAGGGTTGTAAAGAAGGACCCCCCTCGCGCCATCGTCGTCGCTCGCTTGGCTCGGCTTCGAGGCTTTGAAAAATGATCGATTAAGAGATTATATTTTGGACAAAGTTTGTTTTAATTATTTATTTAATTAATTAAGGTAAATTAAATGGACAAAACATTTCAATTAATTAGTTAATTAACCGAAACATTGCGACCCGACTCGGATCCGTGCGCGATCCGTTTTATTTAAACTTTCCCATTTTATTTGAATTTTCCGTCGTTGGAAATGACTGTTCTGAAAGGTTGCAACTTTCAGAAACAGTCATGACCGTTTGAAAGGTTGCAAACTTTCAAGAATGGTCGTGTGGATTCTGAAAGGTTGCAACCTTTCGGAACCAGTTCCTCTTGGCTATAAATACCATTGATTCTTCAGAATTTTTTCCTTACGAATTTTTTGATTGCTTCTTCTTCTTCTACACAAAGTTTCTTCGTGTACTTTACTGTTATTGAGTGGTTCGCTGACACCAGCGTTTTGGGTATTAATACACTGGTGATTGAGATCATTATATCCTGGGAGGACATATTCCAAATCAAACCTCGGATACTAGAGGGGAATAATTTCCTTAAAGGGACATTATGCATTCAGTGGGCTTGATCTTTTCCGTTCTGATTTTCCAGATTCTGGTATGTTTACAGATTTTAGTTTTTGTGAATTAATTTATGTTCTTCTGTTCTTACTAGTTCATTAAATTTTAGTAACTTTGTATTTCTACAAAGGCAACTAGTACAACTGTGGTAAGACTGGTCACAAGTCTTCTGACTGTCGTGCTCTAAGAAAGGACAAAGACAAAGGTAAAAGTCAAGCAAACATCGTGGAAAAGATGGAAGATGCAGATGACCTCTGTGCAATGATCTCGGAGTGCAACTTAGTTGGAAATCTCAATTAGTGGTTTCTCGGCTCAGGTGTCACTCGACATATTTGTCTTGCGAAAGAAGCCTTTGCAATGTACACTCCTGATGAGTTCAATGAAGATTTGGTCATGGGGAACACAGCAACAACAATGATTGCAGGAACTGGGAAAGTTATGTTGAAGATGACATTCGGGAAGATGTTGACTTTGAACAACGTTCTACACGTTCCTACTATTAGGAAGAATTTAGTTTTTGTTGCACTTCTCATTAAGAAAGGGTTTAAGTATGTCCTAGTTAGTGACAAAACTGTAATAAGTAAGAATGAGATGTTCTTAGGAAAGGGCTACCTCACTGAGGGCCTCTTTAAACTACTCCCTCTGTCCCAATTTATGTGATTCATTTTCCTTTTTGGTCAGTCCCAAAAAGAATGACACATTTCCTTATTTGGTAAATATTTAATGACACTATTCCTATTTTACCCTTCTTGAATCTCATTATTTCAATAGTTGCACTCTTTTAATTTAAAGAAAAAGTTATTGAAATGCAGTAAAGTACAATCACTTTTCTCTTTTTGCTGATAGTCAACGGTACTTTAACACTTTTTTCAATACTTTGTCATAACCTATTCTTTCTTTTCGCCACTTCTAAAAAGTCAACACTCATTTTAAAATCACTGATTGAAAAAATTGTAAAAGGAAGAATTGAAAAATTAAAGATGAAGTATCTCTACTTATATGTAGTCCATTAGCTAATATTTTAAAATTTGGCAAAAAAATTGGCGGTAGAAACTGAAAATTTTGATTTTTTCCCACATTTTTGTTATGTTATCAATTTTTTGAAACTATAATTAAAATCATGGAAAAAAAAACTAATTTTACCTACAATGGCAAAAACTCAATCATTTTGGAGTCTTTCTTCTTCATTGAAAGATTAAGGGAGAGATAATGGAGAATGGACTGTGGAGAAGAAAGAAAAGAGATAAATAAATATATTGGACTCTTTTGGATTTATATTAATGACTGATGTGACATTAACTTATGAGAGAGAAAAGTCATAAACTTTTCTATTCAAAGTGAGATATAGTATTTTTTTTATTTATTTAACAATTTAGACTTATTAATAAGGGTATTTTCGGAACATTGTAGAGTCTTTCCATTTTTCTTAAAGTTTGTGCCAAATCAAAGTACATCATATAAAATGGGACGGAGGGAGTAAATGTAATGGTTGTTCACAGTATTAATAAGAATTCTCCTTCTGTTTACTTATTGGAGTCAAATGATTTATGGCATGCCCGTTTGGGACATGTAAATTACAAAGTCTTGCGAAAATTGATTACTTTAGAAGTATTGCCTGATTTCAAATGCAATAAATCGAAATGCAAAATTTGTGTGGAAAGTAAGTTTGTTAAACATCCTTACAAGTCTGTTAACAGGAATTCAAAACCTTTAGACTTAATTCACACAGATATATGCGATATGAAGTCGATATGAAGTCGACACCATCTCATGATGGGAAAATGTATTTTATAACTTTTATTGACGATTGCACTCGATTTTGTTATGTATATTTGCTTAATAGTAAGGATGAAGCCATTGATGCATTTAAGCAATACAAAAATGAAGTTGAAAATCAATTGAATCTAAAGATAAAAATGATTCTGAGTGACAGGGGTGGAGAATACGAATCTCCTTTTGCTGAGATATATTTGGAATATGGTATATCCATCAAACTACTGCACCCTATACACCACAGTCAAATGGTTTGGCTGAACAAAAGAACAGAACATTAAAGGAAATGATGAATGCCTTGATAATCATTTCTAGTTACGGCTAACAAGATACTCAATAGGGTACCGCGTAGCAAAATGCAATCGATTCCATATGAGTTATCGAAACGAAGGAAACCCAACTTGAACTATTTCAAAGTGTGGGGGTGTCTAGCCAAAATAGAGGTTCTTTTACCCAAGAGAGTGAAAATTGGACCAAAAGCAGTAGATTGTGTATTTATTGGATATGTTGTCAACAGTAAGGCCTGTCGGTTTTTGGTTCACAAATCTCACAAATCTGATAATCCTGAAATTCATTTGAATACGGTAATGGAGTCAGATAACGCTGAGTTCTTTGAACACATTTATCCGTATAAAACTAAATGTGAGTTGACAAGTGAAAGACCTAAACGATCACAGGAAGAATCAACGAAAAATACATTACATAATAAGGATCTTAGGCGTAGTAATCGCCAACAAAAATCCACTTCTTTCAGACCAGATTTTGTGGTATTCTTGCTTGAAAATGAGCCTCCAACATTTAAAACAATTATGTCTTCATCTGAGTCAATCTATTGGAAAGAAGCAGTCAATAGTGAGATCGAATCAATTTTAAGTTATCATACTTCGGAATTGACTGATCTTCCTCCAGGAAATAAACCTTTAGGATCAAAATGGATCTTTAAAAGGAAAGTGAAAGTCGATGGGAGTATTGACAAATATAAGGCTAGACTTGTAGTCAAAGGATACAGACAAAAGGAAGGTCTGGACTACTTTGATGCATACTCTCCAGTAACAAGGATAACATCAATTAGGATGTTAATAGCACTAGCGGCAGTGCATGATCTTAAAATCCACCAAATGGATGTCAAAACAACCTTCTTAGATGGAGAGTTGGAGGAAGAAATTTACATGGAATAACCTGAAGGGTTTGTGGTTCCTGGTAAAGAAGAGAAAGTATGCAGACTTGTAAAGTCGTTTTATGGACTCAAGCAAACACCCAAACAATGGCATTCTAAATTTGACCAAACAATGTTGGCAAATGGATTCAAGATTAACGAATGTGATAAGTGTGTTTACATTAAAACGTTTCGAATCATGAAGTCATTGTTTGTTTGTATGTTGATGACATGTTAATAATGAGTAAAGATATTCTTCATCAAAAAATAATGAGTAAAGATATTAACGATATAAATGCTACTAAGTGCATGTTGTCCAGCAAGTTCGGTATGAAGGACTTAGGAGTTGTTGATTTGATCTTAGGAATCATGATTCTCAAAACTCCTCATGGACTAGCATTATCTCAATCTCATTATATTGAAAGAGTATTGGGTAATTTCAAGTACTTGAATTTCAATGTTGTCAAAACTCCAATTGATTTAAGCTTTACTTTTCAAAAGAATGTAGGTAAAAGTGACTCTCAATTGGAATATGCTAAAGTGTTGGGAAGTTTGATGTATATTATGAATTGTACACGACCAGATATAACATGTGCTATTAGTAAACTGAGTCGGTTCACTAATAATCCGAATCAAACTCATTGGATGACAATGAAACGTGTGTTGGGGTATCTGAAGCATACACAACACTATGTTTTGCATTATAATAAATATCATGCCATGATTAAATGATATAGTGATGTAAAATCCACAAGTGGTAATGTGCTTACACTTGGTAAAGGAGCAGTCTCTTGGAAATTGTCCAAACAGACATGTATCGCTCGCTCCACAATGAAATCTGAATTTATTGCTTTAGATAAAGCTGGTGAAGAAGCTGAATGGCTTTGGAATTTCTTAGAGGATATTTCATTCTGGCCCAAACCTATGGTACCTATTTGCATACATTGTGATAGTCAAGCAACAATAGGTAGGGCAGAGAGCGTCATGTACAACGGAAAGTCTCATCATATACGATGGAGACATAACACCGTAAGACAACTGCTCTTTAGTGGAATTATCACAATTGACTATGTGAAGTCAAGTGATAATGTATCAGATCCACTAACAAAAGGCCTAGTGAGAGAGGAAGTTGAAAGATCATCTAAGGGAATGGGTTTACGGCTTAGGCCAAGTCAACATGGTGGTAACTCTATCTAGTAGACTGGAGATCCCAAGAGTCTAGATTCAAGAAGAAAAACAAGTTGTGACTGACGGTTCGACATTGTCAATCAACTCAATCCATTCTCATGATGAAGGCAATGTTCAGGAACAATGTTAAGACTTTAAGACTTGTTAATGAGTTAATAAAGCATAAAATTTTTAATGATTTGCTAAGTTTGGCAAATTTGACCAAATAGTGTATCTACGAGATGACACGGTTAGAAATCACCTATATGAGTGTGAAGTGTAAGCCGTTTCAAAGAGA